AACACGGAGAAAGCAGTGAGTGTTGTTGTTGTTGTTATTGTTGTGATTGTTGTTGTTGTTGTTGTGGTTATTGTTGTTGTTGTTGTTGTTGTTGGTGGTGGTGGTGGTGTTGTTGTTGTTGGTGTTGTTGTTGTTGTTGTTGGTGGTGGTGGTGGTGTTGTTGTTGGTGGTGGTGGTGTTGTTGTTGTTATTGTTGTTGTTGTTGGTGGTGGTGGAGGTTGTGGAGGTGTTGTTTGTGTTGTTGTTGTTGTTGTTGTTGTTTTTGTTGTTGTTGCAGTCACTGTTTTTGTTTACGTGACGATTAGTGAATGCTAAATTCTTTAATATAACTGTGAATAATGCATTATGCTTTGCATTTCAAATGGTGACAAGATAATTATCAATCTGGTTTGTCATTCGCATGCCTGTATGCTATGTTACAGGGAACAGCTGTGGACAGAGAACAACTACACCTCATCAAACATTTGTCTAGACGATGGGCTCGAAGGAGAGGAGAGAGAGGAGGTATCGTTGGACGACGATGACAACGAGCTCCGAACACCAATCTTATACGTTTGTGGTGACGTCACCTATCCGGCGCATGCTGGAGATGAGGATGCGATTGTAGTGCACTGTGCAGGTATGCTGCGTTCTCTTCGCTTACCACACACACTGAACACAGGCTTTGCCGTCTGAGAAAACCACGGGGCCTTAAAAAAAGCCCCGTCATTTACTCGATGGGGCTGATTTTCGTTTTCGATTCTCGGAATCTTAAAATTTGACGGGGCCGAAAAAAAGCCACGTTGACACCGGAGACGGGGCTGTTTACTGGGCCTGGGCCGACTGTCCCTGTGAAAAGCGAAGCCTGTGAACATTAGAGTGTTAGAGAGTAAATTACTAGAGACCTACTGCTGCATGAAGGCTAGCTAGCTGTTTGTCCCAGTCTTGGGCTTTGCTGAAGCTACGTAAACATTGCCATAAAAGAATAATTGAATTGTTAGGTGTTTGATTTGTACGCAGGCCTTTGTTTCCAATTTTACATCTATTTTTAAACTTTATATAACAGTAAGTAGTTTTGTGGGTGTACGTGTTATTAAATTACTGAACATTTCAGACGACTCTGGCAAGTGGGGCTCAGGAGGGCTATTCTCAGCAATAGCTGTACGATCAGGGAAGGCAATAGAGCAGTATGAGCTCGCAGGTGAAATGCAGGGTAAGTAAAGAAAGAAAACTTTTTAGGGAATGCATTTGTGACCCAAAGTGTACAACAGCATCACGTGGTCTAGAATACAGAAACTCAGGTGGGGTATGAAACAGGGGTGGCATGTCCATAAAAATTGGCATCAAAGATAACAAATCTATCTTGACTTTCGTCAAATAAAAATGACTTAATAAATTTCCAACATGTTTTGCTTTGTTTTTCATACATAGATTTAGCTCTGGGTGATGCGCACCTGGTCCCCTTGGATGGCGATGAGACGAGAGAGAAGGGGAGAGACTGGTTAGCAATAATCATTGCCCAGCATCGTAGTAAGGCGGGCAACTTGTCTGGTATCAAGCTTGCTGCACTCAGTCAGGCACTCCAGCGTGTGTACAGAGCTGCAGTGTCCCATGGTGGTAAGAGGCTCAGTTATAACAGGGTACAGAGAGGTGAACTACAATAGTGCACACCTTAAATAATATTTAGATATACTAGAGCATATGATATGGGAGTGTTATTAAGGCCATGGTTGCCTATGATGTTACAGTCCTGAGAGTGATGAGAGGGTAGATATAAAGCGATGATACAGGATTATACCATTAAATTATCTATACTATTGTACTATACTACCCTTTACTAAATATTAATGCATTTATGGCTATTCTGAGTGACATATCTATGGTCAGGAACATCTTAATATAGAGGCCATCGATATTATGATGCTCATGCTATGGTGCTATACCGTATACTATTTCTATTAGTAATGCTGAACTGATGCTTTGTGCGTTGTACATAGCGAGCGTGCACCTGCCCCGCATTGGGCATGCCACGCCAAGCTTCAACTGGTATGGAACAGAAAGGCTCATTAAGAAGCACCTTGCCAACAGAGGCATACCCACATATATATACTATTATGACAAGCAGAAAGCCAGAGCGAAGAGACAGCGACACGGTTCCTCTGAATCAACCGAGGAGAACGCGAGTGGGAAAAGTAAGCTTCTCATCTCTACTCTTGCAACGTAGCCTATTTTATGTCTTTTGACCATAATCAACGTTAATCATTAAGGTCTCTGCATAGGGGTGTAAAAACGATTAAATTTATTGAACCTTTTATGTTTGTGTTTGTCATTATGAAAGGATTGTAATATTTTTTAGCAACTGAACTCGGCCAATTATGATGAAGTTAATCCTCATAATAATTTTCACTTTTATTCCTAGTATTTTCCTAGTATATATCAGATTTGGATAATATGCTGAAAATGATTAATTGTACTGACCTGAATTTTCTAAATATTCTGCTACATTAGGCATGCCAGTGATAATTTTTTCCGGTACTGAGAACTATGATTACATTAGAGCCAAACGTTCATAAACCTACTTACAGAAAGTCGACTGGATGACACAGTAGATGACCCGGGATCAGCTACAACGTCACGTGACGCGCACGAATCCCGGAACATCGCCGGGACAACGTCGCAGCACGCTGCCGGACATTTTTCACCGGAACGAACGTGCATTTCTTCTGCGGCCGTGACGCGACACTAGCTCGATACGTCATCGCGTACAACGCACCGTCAGCGACGACCTGCGCTCGACGTGACCCACGTCATCGTCGCCGCCGACCGTGAGTCTCAAGTTGGGTCGAGACTGCGAGACGCTATGAGTCACTGCGGTGGCGCGCCCGAAAGCGGTCGCGTCTCGCTGGCTGGAGGCGTGTGTGAAAGCTAAGACGGATAGTCAGCACTGCTCCTATAGACTCGACGAATGAAGGCGAGAAATTTCAAACGTCTGTGAGCGATATTCGGACCATTTCGACGTCAGAATGAATCGTGTACTATAAAACATTAGGTTGGGGGGGGGGGCAGTGGGACCTTAAAATTGTGATGTATTATTGATAATTTCTTTTATAAGGTCATGTAATGTTGGTACAGTACGACTGACTTCTGGGCTTTTACATAACAGTGAAACTATTCTGAGAGAAGCCTGCTGAGCTTGTAAATATATGTATGTATATTTTTTTTTCGTATGTTCTAAAAATAGGTTTTTATTGAAGAATTAAAATGTCACACCATCTCCCAGTATACATAAACGAAATATAGCCGACTGTGTACTTTTTCTGACCGCCTGAGCTTTTGACTTGGTGGTCACGACATCTTTATTGAATGTGCAAGCTCTGTATACACTTAAAAAGTAGAAAAGCTTTAGTAAGCTTGCGAAGCTCAAGATAAAAATGACGGATCATTATTAGCAGTGTAGTGGTTTGGCTTAGCCGTTCCTAAAGTTTTCCTGATCCCACTTGATAGTATTAGCGTACTCTTCAACCTTGTTTTTTCCAGCCCAATACTCTACCTATATTGTAGTTGTTGTAGCTCTATGTATTAACTACATGCTTGGTTTTGAATATACCCGCATGTAGCTTGGAGTTATATATAGCTTCTCTGGCTGTAGCTATTCGTCCATGTTTGCGGGGAGTATTTTGCTGGCCTGGCGCGTGTTCTCCCAAGGGTCTCTGCAATCGTTCTCATGTAGCACGCCCCATATTACACAGCCACAGTCGCCACGTACTGGGGATGCCACATCTGCAGAAAGCGGAGGGCACGAGTTAACCTTTTCTATATACGATGATGAACTATTATAACAATGCAATCATACTATACCGATTACATGCTCCTAATGTGAGATATGTATGTTGAAACATTATAGGCGGTTCTTTTCTATATAAGTGGGCATTCACATTTACACAATGCAATCATAGTATGGCCTGTTGTTGTGTTCTTATGTGGGATATGTACCCACACACTATTACACAGCCCAGCATAACATGGGGAAACTACAAGCATGTGTTGGTTACGATGCCCTGCCGTCCATATGAACTACAGGAAAGGAAGAACAAACGAGAAAGACCATGATTCACTCCTTGCCAGTCTTTTGGGCCAATACTGTAGCAATTGCTATCCCACGTAGAGTTGAGAATGTGCCTCCAAGGCTGGATATGGTCTCTTCCCTAAGAGTGACAGGTTTAAAATACTATATACCATCTGTGACGCCCATTTAATAGATTTTTCGCTACCTATCGCAAGATAAGGTTTCTACTTTATGAGTTCTAATTATAGAGATCGAAGGTCAAAACGTTGGGGCATCAGCTCTTCATGCTGTAAAGTTCTGTGTGTTTCTATTCTGGGCGATCCCCAATCAATTTCTTTGTATACAAGTGCGAACATTTCTTTTCCCCGTTGACCTGGCGATAAATCCTCTTATTGCTCTGCGATCTTACGACCCGCTGAGAGAAGGGCATTTTTGAATTAATTATTATTAAGGTAAGATTACAATATAATATTTAAGCCTATAATATGAGATGGCACCTATAATTAAGCACAGGCCTCTCAACCTGAACTCTCAGAGAACCATTTAGACTTTTCTGCTTACCATTCTCGTCTGTCCAGTGTCTGCGCATTAGTTGGCGCTCCTTCATTCGCCCTTACTCTGAAAGTCTGCCAGGAACCGTGCCTGTCTACGTTCGCATTACAAGAGCATGAATTCCAATTTCATACTAGATCACGCGGGGATACATGTATAGTTGGCGAACAACTGCCCGATTTTTAGTTGGAGTTATATGCGGGCACTCAGTTGGTTGCGTGCCTGATATGATTTACCATTACGTACAGTGTTTCCCCTGCGCCAACAAATAGTCGGGGCGCGAACTCCTTCGGGCGTGCTAAGAAGCAGGCTAAATCCGTTGTTCGCGTGGTTGGGGACACTGCGACTACATTTTGCGTAAATTGGAGAAGTGGCCGCACGCATAACTGAGCCCATTCGCTAAACGAGTCTATCGCCCCATGTGCAGTCAGGGGCAATATTTTTTCTAGACTGTTTGTCCGATGGCAAAAAAAAGAGGTGTCCCAATTTGGCATATCCATTCCTCCGATCTAAATCTCTGGGG